CCCAGCACTACTTCCCTCTTCCCTCCCCCTCCCTTCCCCACACTTTACAAATAAATAAATAACATCCTTTTCAAAACAGTGAAACCCAAATTAAGTTTATTTAATAATAGTAATGTGTCAACACTGGGTTAACTGTCGCAAATACACTGTGATAACACAAGGTGTTGACAAACAAAAGAAGAAACTGTGTTAGGGGTATACCTGAATTCTGAACTATCACCGAAGCTTTCCGTAAATTAAGAACTATTCTGAAATTAAAAGTTGACTGCAATTTTGAAATGGAAATATCGATACGATCTTGCCATTTAAATACCCGTGCACGCCTACATACCATCTATACTTTCCTCCTCCGTCCACCGGGAAGGTCAAGAACTATAATACCCCAATGAGCATGTGTAACATCCAGATTTGGTCTCTAAATACCATTTCCACTTAAAAAAAAAAAGAAAAAACATGTCTCCAAGGGACACACTGACTCCAGGACTCAGAAAGGAATGTACCAGGAAGCCTCCACCATGTTATGCCAGAAAATAAGTGAAAGCTTTTAAAGACTAATGAGGCCACGTCGAAACTACCCAGCAATCAGGGACTCCCACCGGCCTAATCAGGGACAATTTGAACATCTAAAAGAATAATGACTGCAATTGACTGAAACACATGAAAAATTTTAAATCATAAATACTGATACTCAAAAAAGAAAAAGAAAAAAAGCCATCACCACTCAATAATAGTGCCTCATTTATCACCGCTAACCCCTATGCTGAAAATGGGTAATTAAAGGGAAATAACTAAGCATTCATTCTGCTTCTCCAGTATAAACTGTATTTTAGGATAACAAATCATATTAGTTAATGAGGGAAAATTCTTTTAGAAAAATGCCAGCAAACAAACACAGATGAAATAATAGAATTAGAAAACCGCCAACTTGCAACCCTCACTGAAATCATTGATTTAGGTACAAATAATCAACAGATACTAAACTTATTAAGTGAAGGGATGACAAGAATCTGGATATTTACTTTGTACCAAAGTATCTCCCCACAAAGTATCTTGCCTATCTCAAGTATATAATACCAACTACAATGGAGGAATCGGATGTCACCAACTTAATTCAAAAACCAACCTTAATTCCTAGTCACTACTGGTGGCAACAACTAGACAATGTGTGCCACCTGATGTGACAAAATGTGGACGATAATCGAGCCTTGGCATCTTCTACAGGCAATACCGAAGATAAAGAAACAGTTACATGATGCCCCAAGGAAGCAACTGGAAAGTCAGGGGGAAGAAGCTTATAGAGGACACTTGGACCTGTACGTTCAACAAAACGGAGAAGATACGGGAGGGAGGTGACACTGTTCTAGGGCAAAAGATATGTAAGAGAGGTACAAAATCGATGCAATGTACATTACTGAATTAGATCCATGCTTGACAAACCAGCATTAAAACACATTTTAAGGGCAAATCAGGATATTTAAACATGGAATGGTTATTGGAATCTTAAGGAATTCTACAGACTTTTGCTAGAGGCAATAAGGAAAGTATGTTTATATAGGAAAATGTCTGTATTCTTGTCTTTATTATTTTAAAAACTTTTTATTGAGTTTATTAGGTCAGCATTGGTTAATAAAATCACACAGGTTTCAAGGGCACGGTTCTACAATAATACACATCTGTGTGTTGAACTGTGTGTGTGCCACCCACAGTCGAGTCTCTCCCCGTCACCACTCATGCCCCCTTCCCCTCTTCTCCCTGCTCTGATAATCACCATGCTGCTGTGTCTATGAGCTTTGGGGGGGGGGGGGGGCTTTCCTTAATCTTTTCAACTATTTCACCTAGATCCTCAATTCCCCTCCCTTCTGACATCTGTCAGTTTGTTCTCTGTATCTATGAGTCAATTTCTATTTTCTTTGTTTATATATTTTGTTCATTAGATTCCACATATGAGTGAAATCAAACAGTACTTGTCTTTCTCTGACTGGCTTATTTCACTTAGCATAATGCTCTCCAGGACCATCGATGCTGTTGCAAAGGGTAAGAGTTCCTTTGCACTGCAAGGAACACAGGGATGCATATATTTTTTTCGAATCAGTGTTTCAGGTACCTTTAGATACATTCCCAGAAGTGGAATCACTGCATCATAGGAAGTTCCATTTTTAATTTTCTGAGGAAACTCCATACTGTTTTCTACAGTGGCTACACCAGTCTGCATTACCACCAACAGTATAAGGGTTCCCTTTCCTCCGCATCTTCTCTAGCACGTGTTGTTTGTCGATTTATTGATGGCGGCCATTCTGACAGTGTGAGAGGTATCTCATTGTGGTTTGGTTTTCATTTCTCTAATGATTAGTGACATTGAGCATCTTTTCATATATAATTATTGGCCATCTATATGTCCTCTTTGGAGAAGTATCTATTTAGGTCCTTTGCCCATTCTTTAATTGGATTGTTTGTTTTTTTTCAGTGTTGAGTTGTATAAGTTCTTTATAAATTTTGGATATTGACCCCTTAGGAGGTCTGTGATTGGCAAGTATGTTCTCCCGTTCAGGTGGGCTGTCCTTTCATTTTGCTGATGGTTTCCTTTACTGTGCAAAGAGCTTTTAGTTTGATTGTAGTCCCCTTTGTTTATTTATTTATTTACTTTTTGTTTCCCTTGCCTGAAAAGATATATCAGAAAAGAATATTGCTAGGAGAAATATCTAAGATTTTACTGCCTATGTTTTCCTTTAGGTTTTTTATGGCTTTGAGTCTTACATTTAAATCTTTAATCCATTTTGAGTTTATTCTTGGTATGGTGTAAGCTAGTGGTCTAGTTTCATTTTTTGCACATATCTATCCAATTATAAAAATGTCTTATTTTTGAAAAATGTAAACTGGAGTATTTCAAAGTAAAAGTTATGTCTGCCTTTACTTTTAAATACTTCATAAATTATAAAATGAGTGAAGCAAACACAGAAAAATGTTCATAATTATTACAGCAAGGTAGAGGGTGGATGGATGGCTGTTACACTATCCCTCTGTTTCTCTCTACGTTTGGAATTTTTCCCAGTAAAAAGTGGATTACAGATATAGACAGACACACTGATCGAAAAACCATTGTCATAAAAAGGGGTCACATTATTTGGCGTTTAGAGATGAACGTGGCAAAGTTAAACAGTTCTCACGATTTAAAAGAGTAACGTTCCCATAACGCTTACAGTGTCAGAGTCCACATCACTTCTACAAGAATCATCAGAATTCTTTTCTTCCCAGCTAATATTTGACAGCTCTTATATACAGGATGCAACAATTATGGGAGAAAAATAAGCTCACTCTTGGGCTTTTCTGCATTTTCGATTATGAAAGTGAAGGGAATGGCACAGCTCAGTAACAGGACCCTGGCTTGAGACTCATGAGATGTGGCCTATTCAGAGCGGACCATGTCTCCATCAGGGCTGACAGCAGGGGGCAGTCCTGAGCAAGTCAGAGGACAGGTGTAAAGGGGAAGGAGAGAGAGCACAGTCCCCAGGTGAATCAAGACACCACCACCTGGGGAAAGGGATTAACAGCGTAGTTTAAGTGCATTTTTAAAAGGTCAACATACTAACTAAAGATAACATGCTATTAATTTAAATCATGAAAGCTATTTTAAATCTAGACATCATTGGGGATACCAGTTTTTTTTTATTTTGTTTTTCTATTTGCAATTGATCATAGATCTGCTCTGTTATTTAGAGAATTCTCAAGTCTTTTGTAGAGCGCTTAAGACTTAATGACTTCAAAATTTACAAGGCAATATGATTTGTTAGAAAACTGACCAGAGCCACTTTAGTCAAAATGGTTATTTTGATAGATAAATGCAGCTGCCAGAGACACTTGAAGTCTCAGACCCAATTCTGATCTATAATACACAGACACTTATTATCTAAGCATTCATTAGCAAGTAAGCAAAAACAATTGATATGACCTGTTGTTCAGGCCTAAGAAAAATCTCAGCTCTCTAGCCATTGAGATGCTCCAACTGCCACTTTCATAAATAATGGAAGCAAACACCCAACGGTCTAGAGACAGTAACTTTCTCCATACAGTTGACGGACTCTGGAGTTAACATCTTTTGATGAACTCTGGAGTTAACAGGTGGATATTAAGTTGAACAAAAACATCATCATGCCCTGGCTGGTGTTGCTCAGTAGATTGAGTGCCAGCCCAAAAACCAAAGGGTCACCGGTTTGATTCCCAGTCAGGACACATGCCTAGGTTGCGGGCCAGGTCCCCAGTAGGGGGCATGTGAGAGGCAGCCACACGTTCATGTTTTTCTCTCTCTCTTTCTCCCTCCCTTCCTCTCTCTCTAAAAACAAATAAATAAAATCTTTAAAAAAAAACCACCATCCTTAACAGTTCAGATTAAAAAGCAAAACTAGATTCTTATACCCCACTCATGCAAGAGTAGAAAAGTGGGTTTAAGTAATTTCAGCTAACTCATTTATCTTATTGAGGACATCTCTAAATGTCTTCAATAAGAGCTCATTTCCAACATACACTATGCAAGTTAACTGGACTCCAGTGTGACCAACAAAAATCTATTTTTTGTATCCAATATGCTAAAAGATCAAATATGGTCAAAAGTAGGAATAAGAGATGGCTTGTGAAAGCACGAGGCTAAGCCTTTTCCGGTACGATGCTCGCTGACCACACCCACACAACCCAGCACTGACAAGCACCTGGGTGTCGCCTAACATACGTCGTACACACACATAAGATTACCCAGCAGTCACGGGATGTTTCAAACTAAATTAGACAAGGTAACGATTTCTAAATGGAAGTGCATTTCTAAAAACAACAAAAGACAGAAAATGTCTTCCAACATAGGTTGATGACACTAACCGAAAAAAATTAAGATGCATTTTACTTCCATTTGAATAATAAAGGTCTGTGTTTGGGTTCAAACTATTACAGATGGAATTCAAATGACAAGAGCACTCTGCCTTCAAGGTGAAGGTATTAAGTTGAATGACACATACCATTCACAGGGTTGAAGGGACCGAAAGGCCTTAAAAGAAGCGTCCATTCCAGCAAAATCCCAAAACTTAACATCGTAGTCATATCCTCCAGTCACCAAGCGGGCACCTGAGGGATCCAGACCCAAAGCAGAAACCTGGTTAAGAAAAATAAAACATCATTGGAGAAAAGCTACTTAAAGTTTATTATGACCCTCAATTCCTTCCTCTCTCCCATCTCCTATCTCAAAGGCATTGGAAGCGCAGAGCAACGACTGTCCTGCTTCTGGAAAGTGAGAGTGGACAGCACCTTCTTCACTGTTTGATTTTGGCAGCATGAGTATAATTTCTTGTCAAATAATAAAAAAAATAGTTTAATTTCTCTAATGACTAGCTTTGTCTCAGCTTATCTACCATGTACCCAGAATAGCTTTCATTGCAATTCCATATGATAGACTAAGCTGCTTTAGAATATAAGTAGAAATCTTACAAACAATTCAGCTCTCTCCTTAAACAATTTTGAGGAAAACTTTCAAGGTAGTTCACCAAACAACTTTAGTTTGTCCAACTAAAGGACAAACACATGAACCTAAAATTATCAAAATAAGTAATGCCAATGAGCACTTCAAGAAATCTACTTAACAAAGTTGGACAAATAAGAAATCATCTTGTGCATATGGCAAAATAACTCAGCATCGTCACATTAAATAATTATTTTTATGAAATTTACCTAACAGTAATGACAGCTCATAAAATGTTTAATGAATTAATTTTGCTCTCATATTTGAACCTTTTTATTTTGTATCTTATTACAATTTATCATTTTAAAAAGAATTCACTATTCTTTTTAAAATGAACTAACTACTCATCAGTTTCTACCCCTACGTTATTAAAATAAAGCCCAGAACTTAAATCCCACCCCCAAATAGCATTTATATTGGTTCTGTAAAATATTTGCTTTCCCTGTGAACTTTCCTCAGTCCAATCCACATATGCTGTCCAGTAAGACACTGCCCTTGAGCGACACTGAACATTTTGTCAAAGCAGGAAGTCTTTTGTCAAAAGGGTCTGTGGCCCTCTCAGGAGGAAAGAGCTGCAGTAGGAATATTTAATGTGCTCGCCATATTTGTGAGAGACAGTGAAAGGATCGAAGTTTTAAATCAAGGAAGCTACTCTACATCAGTTCTAATGAATTCACTTGAAATATAATTAAATGCAACAGAATTGCTGTAATTTACACCAGATACTGACAAAATAATGGCTACTCATCAACTGCTACTGCAAACACTGATTTCAGAATACGGCTGGCCTTTGAACAACAGTTTTGAAATATGTGGATCCACTTACACACAGATTTTTTTCCATCTTGTAAACTGACAACATAAACTTACAGTATCAATAAATACAGTACAGTACTGAAAATGTGTTTTCTCTTCCTTATAATTTTCTTAATGACATTTTCTTTTGTCTGGCTTACTTCACTGTAATATAGTATATAATACATATAACATACAAACATGTGTTCATTGACTATGTATGTTAACTGTAAGGCTTCCAGTCAACAGTAGGCTATTAGTAGTTAAGTTTTGGGGGAGTCAAAAGTTATACATGTGCCCTGACCGGTGTGGCTCAGTCGCCTGGGCATCATCCCACAAAGCAAAAGGCTGCTGGCTCGATTCCCAGGCAGGGCCCATGCCCAGTCTACAGGTTCGGTCCCTGGACAGGACACATTAGAGAAGAAACCAATACATGTTTCTCTCTCACACTGATGTTTCTCTCCCAGTCTTTCTCCTTCCCTTCCCCTCTCCCTAAAATCTTTTTTTTTTTAAGTTATACACGAGCCCTGGCTGGTGTGGCTCAGTGGACTGAGCACCGGCCAGCAAACCAAAGGGTTGCCAGTTCAATTCCCAGTCAGGACACAGGCCTGGGTTGTGAGACAGGTCCCCAGTAGGGGGCACACGAGAGACAACCACATGTTGATATTTCTCTCCCTCTCTTTCTTCCTCCCTCCCCCTCTGTGTAAAAATAAATAAATAAAATTTTTTTAAAGTTATACACAAATTTTGACTGTGTAGGGTCAGTACCCTAATCCCATATTGTTCAAGGGTAAATTGTATAAGGAAATTATACATAAATTAATTAATAACTTGTTTAAACTAGCTATGTACTCTAAATATGTTAAAGAAAGCATACATGTGAGAACTAAGTCACTTCTTATGCCTGAACAATATGTCTTGAAACTTAAAACAATCAAGATAAAAATAAAGTCGCTTTAAAGTCTAAGAAGTGACTTCTGCTCCCACCAACTACAGACTTACCCGCCTCCAGCCCACTCTAGCCTTCCCTCGCGTTAACGGAAGAGGCGCCCCTCCAACGTTCGCCTCAACACAACGCAATGTGAAACTGCAAATCCACTTGTGGTTTGTCGACCCACGCCCGTCCTCCCTCGGGGTAAGTCCCAGTCCATCTCTCTGACCACCGTGGGAGCCACACGGGTAGAGGCCTGGAGTCGGGGTAGGAAGAGTGATGACCGGCTGCAGGCCTCCTCACTGCACCCTCCCGGGGAGGAGGGGAGGCTCACTTGGAGCCTGCTGTGTCGTCCGAGTTCAGTGTGAACTGGGAAGAACACACAAAACGGGAAACCTGGGTAGAAGCTGCTCTTCACCTAAAAAATGTTCTCTTTGTCTAAGATGTGAATTCTTTGGTTGAGAAACAGAATTACCATTATGTTGTTATGTTAATGAAAAGACAAGTGGATGTGATTCATGATGTAGAACCAATGTAGAAACTAAAACCCATGCAAGTTGGGAGTGGGTTCCTTGGGAAGAACTGTTTCTGCTGGACCAGGTTTGCTGGGAGCTACGTTGTGTAAAGGAACAAGGCTACGACCCACTGCAGAGCCAATACTTGTTAGGTGAAGAGGGGAATACCATACAATTTACACCTGGAGCAGCAGGAAACAGCAGCACTTTAATGTATGTAAGTCTAGCATCCAATACGTTCGTTATAGATGCTATTTTGGCCCATAATATTGAGCGTATGCTAATACACTCAGATAAACATTCGTAAACAATAATAGTCTGTTGACTTTCTTAAAGATAATTTTCCAGTGTTGATATACTGTTCATATTTATCTAGAAAAATGAAAGTGAAAAAGTAATGTTTGAAACTATAACAGTATCTAACAATTCCTATTTCATTTAATAAACAAAAAATCAGTAACATCGAACCACACTATATTATCTCGCTCACTTGGAAATGTTCGGTTGACTATCACATAGTAAAACGGAGTTGATCACAGCAGTACATTCACCAAATAGATATATTTCTTCAATGTCAAGGAGGGAGAGAGAGAGCAGAGCTGCTGTAGATCAAGAGACATGTAAGAAACAGCGATGACTCTACTAAGAGAAAGTCAGGCATCGTTTGGATACTGATTTGCACACACTAACTGTAAAAACGGGTATGGGACAGTTGAAGAAACTTGAACACTAGTGGGATTAGGTGATATTAAATAACTATCGTAAAAAGTTAGATGTAATAAAGGTGTTCTGATCATGAGAAAGAAGGGAGAGAAGAAGGAGGAGGAGAGACAGACTCACCTCCTCTCCGAGACTCGCACTGAAACGTTTAGGGATAAAATCCCATGAAGTCTGGAATGCACTTTTCTAGGCTCCCACAAGGTAAATTACAGAGGTGCAGGCTGGGGAGGTTCGGTAGAAAGGAAACAAGACTGACCTTACACACTTAGTTGGTAGGGCTCAGAGACAAGTAATAGGGGCCTGTTTCAGTGTTCTCCAGACTGTGAGTGTGTAAGTATTTTTACAATTACTAGTGAGGGAAAAAACACTGACAAGAGAGTCGCTTTCCCAACAACTGATATATTTCCAAGAAACTGAAATGCATGCAGGGAGAAGGCACAACTACAAAAAGAAAGTAGTTAACCTAACAGTACAATTAGAAGCACTAATCGATTTTGAATGTGTAAAATAACTTGTATTATTTTTAAATATTTCTTTAAAATAGAAAATTTGCCCTGGGCAGTATAGCTCAGTTGGTTGGAGCATTGTCCCATGGACCAAAGAGTCAGGGGTTTTTTATATTTTATTTTGTTTTGTTTTGTTATCCTCCTCCAAGGATACTTCTTTCATTGTCTTTAGAGAGGGAGGAAGGGAAAGAGAGAGACACTGATGTGACAGAGAAGCATTAACCGGTCACCTCCCATACACACCCAGACTGAGGACTGTACATACCAGAGATCAAACCCACAACCTGGGCATGTACCCCAGCTGGAAATTGAACCCACAGCCTTTTGGCTGTGGGACAACACTCCAACCTACTGAGCCACACCAGCCAGGGCCAAAGAATCACAAGTTTGATTCCTGGTCAATTCCTGGTTGATCCCCGGTCCATTACCAGTGGAAAAGGCAACCAGTCAATGTTTCTCTCACACACTGATGTCTCTCACTTTCTCTCTCTGTCTCTCTCCTCACTCCCACCCTTCCTCTCTCTCTAAAAGCAATGAAAAAATGTCCTCAGGTGAGGATAAAACAAAAAATTAAAAGATAAAGTTTGATTTGAAAAATATAAATATTTAAATAAAACATATGAAACACATGAACAATCTCTCAGTTGTAAAAACTGAACTAAAAGGAAATTAGTCCCTTTCTGTTCTATCAGTCTACAATTATTGGCCTTATCCCTAAAAACATGAGTATCGGTAAAATATTATCACAACTTCAGAATAAAAACATCAGAAGTCTGCTTTAATAAAATATAATACCCACAATTACATGGAAATAATTTCTTCAGGCAATAGTTCTCAGACACTTTGGTTTCAAGTCACGTTACCCTCAAGGCCACTGAAGACTCCAAACAGCATTTGTTTATGTGAGTTATATGTATCAACATTTATCATAGTAGAAATTAAAAATAAAGCATTTAAAAATAGTCATTTAAAACAACATTTTAAATAAATATTTTTGTGAAAATCATATTTTCAAAAGCAAAACATTTAGGCATAATGTTATTGTTAACACCTTTGTCTATTAGAATTCTATTACTTGTGTCATTTCTGGGTCTATTTCTATTGGTTGATGTTTTCACACTCATTATGGAACATATTTTCCTACTTCTTTACATGTCAGACAACTAGAAAAAGGTAGCTTAACTGTAAAGAGAAGGCAAGACAGTTTTATTCTTTCATTTATTCATAAGCACATTTCATACATTCAACTACCACTTTTTAATGGTTTAGCAATAAGATACAACAATTTCATCTTGTATCTCAAAAAATTGTTCTTAATCTTTAAGTAAAATAAATATAAATATAAAATCTATACATCTAAGTAATGTAATCTAAGAGCGATACAGTGACTATTTTATGTTAAGTTCTTATCTCAACATTCATCTAGAAAATTAACTCAAGCCTTTTACTAATATAGAAATACAGCAAAGAATAATGAGAAATTTTCCCACACCATAAAAAAGCAAGCTATACTTGCATTTGACTTCCTTTCATTTGTAATGTTCTTATAGCAAAGAAAATGAGGTTTTAAAGCCAACAATAACAATGACAATACTAATTGTTCCCATTTTAAAGGAAACCCAATGGCTGGCTGTTTTGGCTGAATGGAAAAATAATCTTTCCCTAATGTCTATAGCATTCGTGTTATCAGTTGATTGTGTAATTAGCCTTAACACAAATGTTAGCTTATCCGCCCACTTCTCCAGCAGAGCCCTGTCACTGAGAGGAGAGAACCGCACTTTGACACTCACTGTTTTAGTGCCGTGCTTCAGTGTGATCTCGTGAGAGTCCGGGATCCTTCGGACAGGATTCTGAAAAAGGAAATTCCATGACACTGGTCAGTAATACAACATACTGGGGGGAAGCACATACCACATTCACGGGAAAGATAATTTTTAAAAACTGCATCACTGACGCACTTTTTACACAAAGCTTTAAAAATCAGGAAATTAAAAATGTGAGGATATCTTATTTCTGCCAGTCTAGATAGATTACAATTGGTCATTGTGAGCTGGGAATGAATTTATCTTCAATCTCTAATAAGATAAACCTAAAAATTTCTCTCAAGTGTGGAAAACCAGAAGGCCTTCTCAGTACCCCAAATATTTAAAGTCCTCTTTTCACTGGTACTCAGGCATATCTTAAAGTACTTTTGTACTTACTTTACAATAGAAAACAAAATCTGCACAGGGTCTATATTACCTATCTTAAGCCATAAAACTTTAAAGACAAAAACAGTCTGCTGTTCAAATACGGTATAAATAAGGACCTGAGCCACTGCTCCATTGATTCACTAAACATTTATTAAAGGGAGATGCCAGATGCTAAGTAGAAGTAGACAGAGCCTCCACGCATCACCCCGCTTCCCGAGAAGGATGCGGTCTGAGGGGAGCTATCGACGATTCTGACCCAGCATAACAACTGCTGTGGCGCACAGGGGTGCGGACGGAATGACTGAGAGATGAAAGATGGATGGCAAAAAGCATCTGAATAAAAAGTTTTGGTTAGTCAAGTCTCCATTATCCAAGAGCAGGGTAATCACATTAAAATTCTACGACCATTAAGAATTCTTCCTAGTACTGTCTTGTAACCTCCCTAAGTAAATATGTGCAATCTAACAGACTTCGGTCCCTATCCCCATTCTGTAGGACCTCTGATGAATCAAATCAATCACCAGTTCTTCCTAATGTATCTTAAATTTCCCCCTACTATGGTTCTTTCTCCTGAGCATGTAACAATTACAGTGCTTCTCATATTGAGCGCACACGCACTCACACACGCACCACAGTTACTGCTGAACCATCGTCTTCCTTTGCAAGTGTCTGCCCTACAGCTTTCGCTCAGGGTCTCTGCTTTCTTTCACCCTTCTACCTCTACACTGTAGCACTTTGTCATTTAATTCCTAAGGCCAAGCACAGTTCCTGGCACTTAAAGGGACTCAAAGTACCTATTTCTCAAATGAATAAACAAGTCACTATAAATGCCCCTGGACACTTCAGAACTTAACCCCCACACCCGACCTTTCAACAGCATGAGATGACTACTAAACTCTTCCCTCCATCTTGGGAGGAGACAGGTCTTTAAACGCAGCTCTGCGTCTCCTGAACCCTACCACAATCTCAGGAGAGTAAAGACTCGGTATCCTCGTTCAGAACCTGAGGATAATGGCACCTACTCCTAACTCAGAGTTGGGCGCGAAGTCGGTGCTCAATGAATGAGAGCCACCGTTTATTCTAAAGCTCACCTCCTACCTCTCTGGTCACATCCTCTTAGTCCACGCCCAGGCTGCTCTTCCCCTTTACCTGGTTAACTCCTACTCATCCTCCCAGACTCAGTTCAGACGTGGTCTGCTCCACTTCTCACCACTTCCACCTCTGACGACCTCTCCTTGTCTCTAACGCAGAACCTACCACAACACCTTGTCATTTCTGACCTGTCTCCCTGCCCACCACTCCCCCATCAAGCCACAAAATGGACAGTTCTCAAAGACTGGGTATCTGGCTGTCATTGCTGGATCTCTAGTCCACAAACATTTTGGGTGTGGCAGACGCAACCAAAGGTTTTCAGAATGAATGAATGGCCCACAGTCTACTTTATATTGTAGATCACGTTAGACTGTAATTTTTAATTTGCCTTCAAATGTGAGTGTTTACGTCCATACAGAAGGGCAGGTGCTACCCATCAGGTGAGCCTGCTGAGTGAGAGTCGGGGGATAATGAAGATTTCCAAAAAGTGAAAACCTCTGAAGACCAAATGGTCCTACCCCAGACGAAAAGTACACTTAACAGTGCAAGGACAGGGAAGTAAAGGCAGTTTTGTTTTAGACTGTTTGCGTCTCGGAGGTTACTGAAGTCCACTGCCTCCCCAGATCAGTGAAGAAGGCAATCGGGAACCAAGAGACACCGAACCAAACCCCTTCCCGCACAGTGACCCGAGGAAGCTCGGGAGAACCTGCAGTGCATTCCAGACCAGGAGGTTATGGTCTGGTTTGCTGCGGTTTACTAGTTCAGGGATCCCAATAGTCCAATACAAATTCCAAAGTAACTTAAAAGGTGGACAGGGGGATTCTGGACTACCCCTCTGCTAAATTATTTAAGTCACTACTCCATTCGCAATAGACAATGTTTGTAAGCAGTAAAATCTCATGCATAAGTTCTAAGTATTCTTGCAAGAAACAGGAGAACAGTTCAAATGTTTAACTCAGAGAAGAATCTATTATAGTCTGTGTTTCATTTCATAATTAATTACTTCTTCATCAGTCAGGAAACAGAAACTGTCACCAAAAGGAGCGATGAACACTATTTCACTGAGTTCAATGCAGAATGTGCCTGTATACAGACAATTTTCTGACATTTAAAGGAAAAACTTAAAGAACACAGAACTCAGTGTTTACATTAGAAGTAAAATAAATGTTTAAATAAATGTTGTTTACATTTAAAATCAAAGTTTTACTGGGAATCATGTAGGGCATAACTCATAAAAAGCACACATAATTGGCACAATTAAATCATCCAAACCGGCAGCAATCCATCTCTTGGTAGCCCTATCGCTTGATGGCGACTGTTCTTTTTCCAGAACTCTTACTAATGACTCTTTGAAATATGACTTGGGGCAAAATTTGCTATAACAGTGAAATATTTTCAAGGTTTTCCTGCCAGGGGACATCATAAACTACAAGACTTCACTGAAGTCATTTATTACCAGAATTCATAACAAGAGTTACAGGCACAATTGAAGAGGAGAAAAGATACCAGTTTTTGTTTGGTTTGGTTTTCGGTGCCAAGCGAAGGAGGATTTCCCAGGCTCTTTGGTTTACTCCCAGGAACAGCAGCGATTGCAGACATATCTGAACAACATGGGCAGTCCCATCAACATACATCCTTACAGTGTTTTCAAAGGACTTGCAGTCAGAAATAACCTTTCTGGGGTATAGTTGTCATTAGTTTAAAAAGCAATGTATGGGGGGGAGATGGAAACAACAATACTTGAACAACAATAAAAAAGTGAAAAAAAAGCAATTTAATTTTGTATATATGGTATGTATTTTTTACTGCACACCATATATAATTGGAACTATAACCCATAATGAAAAGCCTACCTAGTAACACAGATCTGCCACAAAGTAGCTGGGAATTACAGGGAACAGGGACCGCCAGCCAGGAGCTAGAAAATGAGAGCCACTTTCTCCCAGAAACTATTTTGGAAATGGTTTCCAACGCAACCAGAAGCACAGTCTATTCTTGTGTAACTCTGGAGATCCAATGAGGTTGACTTGACGTTAATTCACTTATTCATTCACTCACTAATCATACATTCACTTAACAAACACTAAGTATTTAATTTCACACCACATACCAGGAACTACAGTTAAAGATAAAATGACCAACAACAAAGGCTGTTCACAGAAACCTGTCAGTCCACTAAACCAACATAGACAGGGAGCCAAATAGGCAAACTGGAGTGTTCCAGATGCTGCGAGAAGAACACACAGTTCAATGTCCACTTCCATTCCGCCTGGGGAAGCATGGTGTGATAACAAAAGGCTTCGTAACAAACGTTTGAGATGTCTTTGGAAAAATAAAGGTTCTCTGGATGAATGTGGAAGACATCTAGAAGAGAATAAGATAAACCTTGACACTTTCTGAACTGCAAATATTTTTGCATGGCTACAGTTTAAATTACTGGCCAGGAAAAAGGGAAAGGGTGTATGTGTTGGATGTATATGTAGGTGTACAATGTATATAGGTATATGTATAATATATAACATGTATACGTATATTATTCATTTAGATATGGGGCAAAAGTAGGTTTACAGTTGTTCATATGAAAAATAATCCAATAATTAATGAACATTATAAGAATAAACTGTTTTGTGTACTCGCAGCTCTAAACTTACTTATGCCCCATCCTGTGTGTATATATAGATATAGATTCAGAGAGTGAGTTAGAAGCCAGATTGTCTACAACGCCAAGAATCTAAAATTTAAGTTGTGAGCCATGTGATTTGGTAAGACGTGAGTTTTCAAAAAATCGGCAAGGTGCTCGTGCATCAAAGACACAATCAACACAGTGAAAAGGCGACCTACAGAACAGGAGAATATGTCCAAATCCTGCATCATTAGTTGATAACATCTAGAACTACTACAACTCAACAGCAAAAAACTAAAGAACCCAATTCAAAAACTCAGAAAGGACTTGACTAGATATTTCTCCAAAGATATAATACAGATGGCCAACAAGTATATGAAAAGACAATGAACATCACTAATCATTGGGGAAATAAATGCAAATATAAACCACAGTGAGATACCACATCACACCCAATAAGGATGGCTATTATTTTTTAAAAGAAAGAATAGAGTAGAAAGAATAAATGTTGGCAATGATGTACAGAAAATGGAATCCTTACACACTGCTGGAAAGAAACGGTACAGCTGCTATGGAAAACAGTATGGTGGTTCCTAAAAAAAATTAAAAATAGGATTGCTATATGATCCAGCAATTCCAGTTCTGAATATACAAGGTGTGGAAAAACTGCAGCCATTGTCAATATAAGAAGACAGTTTGCGCAGCACTGATATAACCTGGCAGCAAGGAGAGTGGACTGGAATGAGCATGTGTGAACAATGACGACTTCACTGCACTAGTCAGTGGGGGTGGTACTCACCACTGAGTGAGCATGTGTACTGTGTGGCCATAACATTCAAAATGACTGAGCAAGTAGAGCAAAGAATCTGCATCAAATTTTGCCTTAAGCTTGAATATTCACAGTTTTTTGTGAAACATCAAATCACCCAGGTGACTCAGCCCT